CAGTGGCGTGAAAATTTTCAAACTCTGCAGACACTGCATAAAATGCTGCAGACGACATATGTCACACCTAAATCCCTGCAAGATCATTTTATCATTTTAAAATGAAGCACAATATAGTCAGTTTATTGACAAAACATAATCCCCATGCTTCGACGTAGCTATCACGCAGCAAGATTTTAACCTGGCAGGTGATCATAAGATTTCAATGTTGGATACCGGATTTACTCAGAGTAAACGCATCGTTCCTTACTTCCAGTGGTCTGTGGGAACTGTTTTAACAGGCCCCGGTTCCTCAGTGGTTTTTGAGCACCTGCCATGCCCTGCATGCCGTACATATCTCTGAGTTTGGCTGAATACGATTCCCTGGGCGTCTAGAATTATTGGCGTCGTGCGCCTACCCCAAAACTATATTACATTTGTAAATCGATTCTTACTCTCTACGGCACTGAAAACAGAAAATGACCAAAGCAAGATCACATATGAGGGAAGAATGGGGTAGATTAGGTTTCTGACACTATTCCTTAAAAGGGTAGGTGAAGAAGCCATGGTTCAGGCTGAGTTGTTGGTTCTTAGATCTCGACACGCTTTAAAGAAAATCTATGTAAGTGAAGGGTACATTGATGGCAAACACAGACGACTAGTTGTAAGCAGCATTTGAATTAAGCCCCTGAACGGAAGTCGTAAAGTAATTTCATATTTTGCTCGACTGATAACGAATCATAAATTGGACGTGAAGAAACTTTGGATACTACTGCGTAGACGATATGAGAATACAAAAAAGCAAATAACATGTTTTGTGTCACTGGAATGATCAAGATCGAACTTTTGTAGTCACATCGCGAACGGTGCATGAATTTTATCGCATCAAGCACAAAAAGACAAAAATAAATAAATCCGACGGCGGAATTACGGTAGGATTCGTTTATTCCTTCACAAATCAAAAGCAATTATATGTAGAGAGCACTAAGTGCTTCGATTATCCAAACAATCTAGATAGCTTAAAGGGAATGCGTCACCATATGTCCCAATGGACACAACGCTTTGACTGAAGCTTCATAAAAACACCAAAATATTCAAAATCAAAAAAGGCGCTTGAAGAAAGATGCATTATCATAAAAGGCATTCACGGCAGATTTTGAAAGGGATTCAAAGACATTCGAGTGGATAAACTTGGGACTGAAGATAGGCCAAACCTACCCAAACTGAGTATAGTTCACTGATCCTCATAACGGCTCCAAAGAACTGGCACATTGCTGATTGACACCATCGTCATGACAGAATTGAAAGCGAATCTGCAGAAATAGGTCTGTTTGTGCTTGCCAAATACCTGGTTTTTCAAATTTGTGAAATCAACAAACCAATCTTGAGGAGATGCGAAACTCTGTTTATGCGGAACGGTAGAACTCTGCAATAAAGAAACAATATCATAAAATGAACCAAAAATGTCCTAAAGCACCTTCAAATGAGTGAAGATGTTCCTATCCAAGAAACTACCTTTAAGTTCGAAGCGAAAATCATTGGATTAGCGCATGATCAAGGATTTATACGTGGATGTGCAGTTAAGATCCTAATCGCGGAAGGTGCTCAAATAGTTGAAATGATGCAGACGCCATGGGAAGTGTAGGTGGCCAATAAAAACAAGAATCAATAAAAATTGCTAGACCTAAGAACTCAGAGATGCGTTAGCAATGTCATTGCAAAAACTAAGCATCGTAAACTACACTGGACTTTATATATCATGAGAACGGCAGGCCATGGCAGGAATAACAATAAATTCTGCTCGGAAGTAAAAGGCAATAAATGGTCCGTAAAAAGTCATGTAAATCTATTGAAAAATGAATGCATATAAGCTCCTACCGAGTGAAAGCTTGGAGGTGGTGCATGAGTTCGCTCCGGTGCGTTGTGGCGACGCTGTTGCTCTCCAATCATATCTGCCCATGATCGAATCTTCGCAAAGAGCTCTACGTCTGTAAATCCACTGGACTTCGATAAAGGTTGCAGAGAGGTCGGCAAAAGGCCACGAGTGTTGATACCTCAAATCGACTGCCGAACAACAATTCGCTAAGAACCACTCACCGTAACGTGGGACAGTGTTGTGAGTGAATCTTGGAAAGCCTTCATCTAGCGGTAGACCATAAAAGCTGATGATGAAGGCGAAGGTCGCTCTTGGAAGGAAGGAAAAGTTTGCAATCGTTGGCATATTATTCTTTCATACGTGTCGAAGCAGCGTCCCATATGGAGCATACTTGCGTTATAGAGTTAATAACCGATCGATTTCTCTTTCATCAGCCAATAGCGTTTCACGCAGTCGAACAAGGTTCTTTTAGCTGAGAGCTAGAGTGCAACTTGCCCTGCTTCCATTGAATGTAGCGCTACTCCTTTACGTGCCTGACAAAGGTATTTGGCGAATGAACAGGCAGAAACTTGAGCCAGAACTCTGCACACTGTGGTTCGTCAACCGATCGAAATTCCATGATATGAGAGGCAAGCAACATACTGTCACTCACAAAATAAGGTTGGCTTTTCTTAACCGATTT